GGCTACCATCCGCATGGTCGGGCAGTTCAAAACCGCCGAAGGAAGAAGACCGGGCTTCCTACTCCTGTAAACAGTCTCAGAAACCCACAGGGGTCACTATGAGTCAGCATGGAGTCGGTGGCAGTGAAAGGGTTACCTTTATGTGCCCCTGAGACCTTTCACCACAGCAGAAGGCAGGCAGGATTAGCGGTGCAGCGCTGGGGACATGTAACACTGCGGCTTTTCCTTTTCCGCTCTCCCCCAAAGCGCCTCCAGAATTAATGGGTGCTGCCTTCCGACCTAACCAGCAGCTCCAGCAGAGACCCAAGGTCCATCCCAGCCCCAGGGGGACTCTTTGATCCCTTCAAACCCCAGCACAGTCAGGGACCTCTCCCCTCCTTGGCTCAGGCTGCCTGTCAGTCCCAGCTGGAAAAATGGGGCAGGGATTTAGGACCTAAGACCTTTCCCAAATCAGAAGAGGGCAGTTGGGTCCTAAGGGAAGCTTAAATGGAAAAGGCCCAAGTCCCAAATGGATTTCACAGCCAGTCAGGTCACAGGACCATGCATTTCTCAAAACAGAGCATTAGTCACAGCCTGCACCCCGCCCCCCACCCCATGAGGGTCATTTATCTCTGCAGAGTCCTTTCCGAGGAGCCCTCCTGGGGCAGCCCCTGGGGGAGGGCAGCAATAGACGCAGACCCTGTGCCCCCAAACCAGAACATGTGTCCTCCTTGGGGAGTTGTCTCTGGTTGAGCACAATGCCTGCTTCACGAGACCCCTGACCAAACCAAGCTCGCATATGCAAAGGCGTGGAAGCAGAAAACAGAACGGCTAAAACATCCTGAGCACGGGGTACCCGTCTGAGTTCTTCGCACACAGTAAGTCTCGGGACGATGCTCTGCGGTAGGCACAGCCATTATCCCTACTGATCAGATGTAGCAGCCGGGGCACCGAATGGTGGAATACGTTGCCCAAAGCCACAGCAATAGGAGGTGGTGGAGGTGTGATTTGAACTCGGGCACTGGCTCCGCCGTCCATGCTTGCCCACCCTGCTGCTTCCCTGAGAGCGATCACGCCAGTCGGGCACAGTCAGGTAAGCAGTGACTGCAAACTGCAAGCCCACCAGCCATGCGGCCGGAGAGAGGCGGTGGCTACCCGACCCCTAACAACGACTTAGAGCCTCAGAAAGCCTTGACGGCAGTGCTTCTCAACCTTCCCCAAGCAGTTCTTCATGTGGTGGTGACCCCCCAACCATCAAATGACTTTCGTTGCTACTTCAT